ACTGAGGCAGGAGGATTGCAAATTCAATCCCAGGCCAGGGAATTTAGAGACTTAGTCAGACCTTGTCTCAAAAAAAAAATTGAAAAGGAGGGAAAGTTAATTTTGGCTCAGAATTTCTGAAGTTTCAGTCCATGATTGGTTGGTTCTGTTGCTGTAAGGCTGTGGTAAGGAAGAACATCATGATGGCAAGCGAGTAGTGGAGCCTCAGGGTGGCCAGAAGCAGAGAGATAGGATAGGCAGAGTCCCAGTGTCCCCTTCAGCAGCACTATCCCAATGACCTAACTTTCTTCCACTTGGCCTCATCTCTTAAATATTCCACCACCTCCCAGTAGCATCACAGGCTGGTGACCAAGCCTTTAACACAGGCATTTGAGAGATACTTCCAACCATAGTATCTTCATATTTTGATCCTCAGTCTACATCTGTAATCCTGTGAGGCCCTCCTCCCTCAAGCCACAATACCACCAGATTTTCAAAAGACTACTCTGTGTGAAATGATGCACTGTTCCTCATCTTCATCTAGCAGTTTCTGCTTCTTCACTAAAATTCATCCCAAGTACTGATTAATTTACTATATATGTATCACCCTGTGGTTCCAATAACATCGTGATCATAGCTGTAGTGCCATACTGTAATCATGAGTTAATTATCTTATCACATTTTCCCTTCTTGACTATAAATTACTTGAACAAAGGGATCTAAATCAATGGTGGGATGGGTGGGGATCTTTCAACAAAGTCCTTGGGGGATTCTGAAGGCTTGAGCCTCACCTTTAAATAGTTCCTAAGGTCTACTTCAACTCTGAAATATAAGACTCCTCGAATATAAGGCTCCTCAAAATTTAACTGGTGTTGTGGAGAGGAAAAAAAGGTTTGGAATAATTGATTAATAAAAAACAAAAAGCATAGATAGTCTTTCATGCCTACAGTAAGACAACTCATTAGGCTGAAATATAAGGGAAATAAATACAAATAAGATAAATACCCTTATTTCATTTAGGAGCATTTGCTTAATATGTCCAGTTTTTTATTTATTAATTCTAAAACTATTGATCAGTTACTATATGCCAGACACTGTGCTAGTCATTTGGAGAACACCAACAAGACAAAAAGCCCTACCCTTAAGGAACTTGCATTGTTAGACAATCAACAAATATAAGAAGTAAATCACTGAATATCTTAGAAGGTGGTAAGTACTCTGGAGAAAATAGAACAGCAGAAAGGGCTTTCTTTTGTCAGTATTACTAGAGTTAATGTATTTAATTTGAGCTATTAAATAAGTCATACTTTAAAAGGCAGTGTGGTGGATTAACTAATGGTCAACTTGTAACACCCAGCTAAATGAATCAGCATAATCTCGGTGTGGACGATCCACCTGAGGATTGTTGCCAATAGCCATAAAAAGAGAACTGGAGGGGAAGATCACGGGGCTGTTGATTTTCTAGAAGCTTGTTGCGGCTGGGTTTTTTGGTGCTAATTTGGCTGTTCCCCTGAAGGAGGAGCTGGGGCCTCGCTGTCACTAGGAATGGCTGCTGTTCTTATCAGTGGAGTTCTTCACTGTGAGTGTCACTTCTTGGCTCTAGTATCGATACCTCAGCCTGGTGGCAGAAATCCTTCATCCCAGGTTTTCTGGCTTCCACCACTGGCCTTTGGGCCTAAGGGTGCAGATCCTCAATACGGACAAACATGAGACACTGCTGTGGGCTCCAGACCACTGGCTGGATTCTTTGGGCCTCTAGTGTGAGGTTAATCTCTTGCACTCCTCTGTATTTGACTTTTTGTGTAAATATCATAAAATAATCCTACAAGTTATATGTCCTGTATTAAATGTATTCCCTTGCCTAAACCCTGACTACAATGGGCAACATTTAACATATACCCAGTCAGAAGAGAACTCAGGATTTGGAAAATTCAGATCTGGTTTCCTTTCATAAAACTGACAGTAGGGCCAGGGATTTAGCTCAGTGGTTCCACCGCCTGCTGCACAAGCACAAGGACCTGAGTTTGATCCCCAGTACCAAAAAACCCCCCCAAAAACCTGACAATAAATGGCTTTCCAGTTACGTCAATAGGAAAGTAATAATTTAGTGGTTCAGGGAATTGCTTCCAATGAGTCAAAAGTACATTATGATAATACAAATTTTTACTACTATAAAAATAGAGAAAAAAACCCCACAAATCAGGAATAAGTGTTTTGTTCTTATCTGCAAGACTTACAAAACCTTTACTACAGAACTTCCTAACCCAACTCTCTCTTTTAATTGTTTGGATTTTCACATTTAAGCAAACAAAAATGGGTCCTTTTAGAATTTTTAGGGAAGCTTAGTACCATAGCACAAGGCTTTCACTTTACCTCTCTGGGGTGCTTGGAAGGAGAAACAGTTTGCTTCTGTGGGAGAAATCACTTCTCCATCTTTACTCTCAAATAACTTAATCAAAAGATTTAACATTTCATTGTAAACAGCCTTACAAGTCAAAATTAATGTCACCTGCAGAGTAAGCTAAAAGAGTGATGAGTATTGTTTTGCACAGCAGTTACTGTTTTTCAAAGTCCTCCCATAATGAAAGACTTTTTTCTTGCACCTCTTAAAATCTAGAACTGTGTGGTAATTCTGATGACTGTCAGTTCCTGTGGGATGTTTACACAAAGGTACTTTAAAACGAAGAGTCATTTTTAGAGCAATTAGAGAAGAGGCTAGACAGAGAAGAGGCAGCTCTGGGGCCTGGCAGGTCGGGGTTAGGGTTTATTGACAGGACAGGGTCAGGCGTCTGCTCCTCCACCGGTGCCCCCACGTACCTGCCCTCCGGATACACCCAAGACCTCCTTGCTTCAGCCACAGGCCGAGCCCGTGTAGAACGTGGAGAGAAGAGAAAGGAGGAAGAAGAGGGCAAGTTCTGCTCATACTTTGTAGTTCCATATGGAAATGCAAGTTTGAAAATATTTGTGTATGTTTCTGGCCCAGATGTTATGTCACATTAGGAAGAAGAAGCTTTAAAATACACAAAGCATTGTCTGTTCTTTCCTCTTTGTAGTTTGCAGTTATTGCATCCCGAAGAAAGAAAGACTACTTTTTGCCTGGCTAAAGTAGTCTTTTAATTTCATTTTTTAGTTTTGAGTTACAGGTTTCTGGCAAGCTCCCTGACCACTACTGTTACCTGGTGGCGCCTATATTTCATCAAATTTAGACATGCAGACTACCTGGATCTGGGCCCAGATGAACTGTTGTGACTGATAAACATGATCCCGCCCTGCCCCCCCACACACTCAGGCTTTTCCCTTTAAGGGAATCTAAGACTGGAGTTCCGGGATCCCCAAGGGAGCTGAAGAAAAATGTGTTCCGGCATTCACATTTGCTCTGTGGTTTTCTCTAGCTGCATCTCCGCCTTCCCAGAGGCTGGTGAACATCCCAGCAGTGCCCCACTTCTCCAGGGTTGGTAATTAATGGAGGGAACATATTTTTGTTTTTAATAAAAACAAGCAGAGCCATCTATCAGTACCCACAGTCAAGGCAGAATTTGTTTGACATCTTGTGATTGCTGCTTACAAAAAGAATGACAGCAGTTATTAAACAAATAAAAAAGATGCCATTTATTGGTAGTTTTCAGATATCCTAAGAATATCCATGGTAACCTTACTGCTGTTGCTTGCATGTGTGGGAAATAATAGAATTATTAATTTTTGAAATCTGAGTTGTATTAAGATTTGGAGTCAAAAAAAATTCAAACATTAGGCAAATGTAAGCTTTATAGCTATGTAATATACTAGGAGCTTTTTATCTCATAGAATATGTTTCAAACACTTGCTTTTAAGATTGCAGGGGGAGTATTAGCAGTCAATGTAATTAAAACTAATTGCATTTCCTATGTGAATTATTTTTAGTCTCTTTTTAAAAGGCATTTGTGATTATTTTCCTCCATACCATTTATTCTTAAAGGTGTCCCTTGACAAAAGGTTATGGAAAAATGGTCTATTTGCTTGGAAACAGAAGTCAGTGAATTTTATTTCACTTAAGATGTTTTAAAATGAGAATTTGTTACATAATCAAGTAGAAAAAGCATTAAACTAACTTCAGAGACTGAAGTTTCTGTTCTCATGTCATATTAATGTGATCTAAGAAAATACTTAATCTCTCTGGCCTAAGTTATCTCACTAGGGAAATGTTAACAGTGATTTCATTCCCTGACCTCACCTGATGATGTGGAAGGATCAGTTCACCACTTCCATAGGTACTGAGTAAAGTGGGGTTTTGCTGGAAAAGGAAAACGAGACCCTCCTGGAATGCTGGTAGTAGTCTGTGTCTTCCTTTCTTCTTTTTCCTCCTCTCCTCCTCCTCCTCCTCCTCCTCCTCCTCCTCCTTCTCCTTCTTCCTCCTCCTCTTCCTCACCTGTCCTCCTCCTTTTTCCTCCTCCTCCTCCCCCTCCCCACTTCTTCTTTTGCAGTGCTGAGGATTGAACCCAGGGCCTTGAGTATGCTAGGCAAGCACTCTGTCATTGAGCTGCACCGCCCAGCCCACAGTCTGTACCTTGATAGATGTTTGATTACACAGGCTTATGCATTTGTCAGAACTCTGAATGGTACACATAATAATTGTGCCTATAAGTTATGTAAATTTTACCTCATTCAAAGAACAAGAAACCTGTAAGTATATGTTGAAGTTTAGTTAATGATATTCATGTTAATGTATGGGGGAAGGACCTGATGAATAGACAGTAGAAGGTTTAGAAATATGCAAAAGCATCAGTACAATGTTAATTGTGAGTCTGGGTTGTACGTGTGAGTGTTCACAGTAAAATTCTTTCGACTTTTGTCTGTGTTTGAAATTTTTCGTAATAAAATGTTAAGGAAAACGAACGTGCTTATTTTTGCCTAAAGACCTGTGTATCTCACTTTAATCCCCCTTAATTAAAAATCAGACCACTTGGATTAATACCTAAAAGGGGAGGGATATAAATATAGCCAGTTAGATGAACAGAAAGCTACTCAACTCATACTTTCTCTAGTTACCTGCTGAAAGACCTTTGCCAAGCATGGAAGCTAAGGAAGGATGTCTTTAAAAATTAGAAGAGCTCTGAGAAAAACCAAACCATGAAGCCCAACCAGTAACCTCTCTGAGCAGTTAAAATTCGCCGCCAGAACTCTCACTGTGAAAAAGGACATGGCCTCCTGACAAGTAGTCTTCTCCAGTGGCAATCAGGTGATCCCTTGTTGTATACCTTAGACTGTGCCATTATCAAATGAAAATGGGCTTTCAGTTTTCAGCCAAATCAAAGGGATTTGGCCATGAACGCCTTCACTTTTATCATAATGCCAGGCTATCTCTTACATCCTGATAGAGTTCTTTTAAAGTTATCTTACAATGGATGTATAAGTATGTATGTGTGTTTGTTGAAGGGTCAAAAGGGTAAATTGGTTCTGGTGGAACTTGAGCTGAACTTAAAAGCAAATGATAATATATTTTAAGTGAGGCTGTGTTGCTCAGTTGGTCCTTGAACAGTAAACCAGAAAGTCAAGATGTGAGAGGCTCAGAGATCTCAGTTCCTTCATGATCTCTGTGTTAGTTATTTTTCTCTAGTTACTGAGACAAATACCTGATACCCAAAGTTAAAGGAGGAAGGGTTTATTTAGCTCACAGTTTGTAGCGGTTTCAGTCCATAATCGCCTGGCTCCAAGGCAGGGTGGCAGAGGGCCAACAGTTCATGATGGCTGAAGCAGCGAAAGTATTAAGAGGAAAAGTTTAAGAGCGTCTTTCTGCCCTTTTATCTTACTCAGACTACTTAGGGCAAGTAGCACTCATGCCCTTAATCCTAGTGCCCTTAGGCCTATCCTCGCCATGAATCAATCACACACTCTAGATTCAGCCACCTCTGGAAAAGCATGAGGCTTTGGGGAGATATCTAAACACAAGCCCTAACAGTCTCAAAGTGAACTCTCAGTGGTTAATTTATCCCCATCCTTTGATTTTCTCACTTGACAAGTAAGAAATTAAACGTGACACAAAATGCCCATGCAGTGGTTCTTAAACTTTACTATATGTAGGAATCATTGTGTTAGAAATTTAGTGTGTGGCCAGGTGTGGTGGCACATGTCTGTAATCCCAGCATTCTGGGAGGCTGAGGCAAGAGGATCATAAGCTCAGTCCATCCTCGGCAACTTAGTGATTTATCAAAGTCTTGTCTCAAAATACAAATAGGCTGGAAGTAGCTCAGTGCAAAGGCCTTAGGTTTAATACCCAGTACAACAACAACCAAAAAAGAGAAACTTTAGTGAGTGTAAAATAATTTAGCTTGTTGAAACAGTGATTCCTGGGTTCCAAACTGGGTTTTCTAGTGCAGAGTCCAGAGATCTGTATTTTAATAAATACCCAGTATGATTCTGATACATTTACTGGACCACATGAGACAGGTGTAAATGTTGGATTGTATTTGTTGTTTGTTTTTTAAAAAGTGTCTTGTGATATTTCCCAGGCTGATTTTGAACTCCTGGTCTCAAGGGATCCACCCACCTCAGTGTCCTATTAGCTGGGACTACAAGTGCATGTATGCTACCATCCCCGGCTACTGTAGGTATGTGTTGATGAGTAATATTGTAACTGAGAGGATCTCTTTTCTTTAGCTTTTTGTTGTGGAAAATTTTAAACATACATCAGAATAGTGTACCTCCATAGACCTATCACTCACCGTTGGTAATCTTTATTCTCTTCCCCATACTCATCCACTTCCCGTACCCCTCCTCCCTAGGTGATCTGTGGAGGCAAATGTTACATGTATCATTACATCTGTATGTATTTTAGTATGTATCTTAAAATACTAAAAATACATACTTTTAAAATTATACCATTAAACCTTACAAAACTTGATAATATTCCTTAGTATAAAATATGTCAAGCTGGGTGTGGTGGCACACTCCTATAATGCTAGAACTTGGGAGGCCAAGGCAGGTGCTTTGTGGTGTCAGTTCAAGATCAGCCTGGGCAGTCCCTGTCTCGAAAAAAAGAAAATCAGCATCTAGATGTCTTAATTGTCCTTTGTTGGAATTAGGAAACCACACATTGCATTTAACTTTTGTATCTCTTCAATCTTTTAGTCTATAAGTTCTTCTTCCCTCTCTTTTATTTTTCTTGTGATTTATTTGTGGAAGAAACCAGGTCATTTGTTCTATAGATATTCTCCATAGGTTTTGCTGACTCGATCCCCACTATGTCCTTTTTACCTTTTTACCTCTCCTGTTTCTTATACATTGATAGTTCCATCACTGCTATCCTGAAGTTTGATCAGGTTCAAGATTAGATTTTTGGCAGGAATACATGGTAGGCAATGTCATATACATCTCCCAGAAGGCACATATTTGGTTGTCTTTTTGTTATGTTATTAGCCATTGGTGATCATTGCTGACATCTATCCTCTCCTTAGGGAGAATCCCCCTTTTTTTTTTTTGGTACTGGGGATCAAACTCGGGACCTTGCACTTTCAAAGCAGGCATGGTGCCACTGAGCTAAATCCCTGGCCCAGAGAATCCCATACTTTAACTGGTAGCTCATGAATCTCTCCTACTCATTGTAGATTTTTCCTCTTCTAAGATGGGCTTTGAAAGCTTTCAGAGCAAACCCTTGGCTGCCTACTTACACATCCCATTTGTGACAGAAAGCAGAAAGGCTTCCTTGCTTTTCTAGCTTAGTTTTGTTTTTACAATATAGTAATCTTTAAAATTTGTTCTGGTGCACCCTCCAGTGTAATTCAGTTTGTGAGACATGTTAAGATGAATGCATGACCAGACAGCTGGACAGAAAGTTTGAGAGCCCATAGTGCAATCACAGTTGCAGGCAAGTTGACCAGGTGTGAGTACTGGTGAGCCAGAGCCACCGTTCTGCATCACAGTCTCTCCTGAGGAAGGGGATGAGGGTTTGTTGGGTTTATTTGTACCAGGGATCGAACTCTGGTCCTTGCACTTAGGCAGCAGGCGGCGAAACCACTGAGCTAAATCCCCGGCCCTAAGGGATGATTTTTTAGTATTGGTATTTAACTACTTTGTCCTGACAGAAAACAAGGTTCCTGGATCAGAGGCAGAGAATTATTACTTACAACAGTAGAAATATTGATGGGTTCCCACGCCCCAGTGTCCTCCTTCAGGCCAATTCAAAGGAATGTAGAAGAATGAGGTTGGATGTGCCAAGATCACCCAGGAAATGTGAAGTGATGGATACATTCCTTCATTCAGCAAATGTACTGATTGCCGATTGTATGCCAGACACTGGAATAGATGATAAATACTCAAGAACTCCCAACCTAACACATAAAACTATATACCTCTATGTCTAGAGAGAGTGTGTGTTACAGAATATGTGTGTGCGTATATTTTGATTTTTTAAAAATAAATTTTATTTGATTCTATCCCACCCCCCACCCCCAAGCCCTCTGGCCTCCCTATATACAGAAGCTTTGTTTCCATGTTTTTCTCCTATTTCCACTTTTAGGATTTTATGCATATATACACAGGTACTTGTTTGCTTTTTCTTTCTGACTTTCATTATAATTTCAGAGAAGCTTTTTCATCATGTTAAATTTACCTTCAATTGTGACTTGCATGGAAGCTTGTGTGACGTTTTCTCATCCCCAGCTTTTCAGCAGTTGAATTGACTATACTTTGTACCCACTCCCCTGTCTGTTCATATGGATAGTTGTTTTGATAGAAATGTAAGTCCAAGTTATTAAAGTTAGACTGAAAGAAGAAAATCTAGGTGCAAAGTGATAGGGATTTCTCCAGGCCGAAGAGACCTAAGGAAAAGCAGGGCAGAGCCCTACAACTGCAAGCCTGTTGGCTTGGCAAGTGACTCAGAGTGCTGGGTTGGCTGGAAAGTGCCGGAGTTGCAGCATTCGGTTATGGGAGCCAGTAAAACACGAGTAGACAGATACAATGATTACAGCATGGGAAAGGGCCTTTGAAGGAAATAAGAAAGTTCAAGTGCCTGGGAAGAGCACTTTGGAGTAGTCCCGAAGGCCTCACTGATGGAGTGAATTTGCACTGAGGCAGAGGGATGTCACGAACCAGGGCCATGAAGAGCTGGTTCTGAAAGGCCAAATGCAGAGATGAGAGAGGGACAGAAACAGGCTCCTGTAGTCATGGGCAGTGAGAAACAGGGAGAGTACAACAGGAGGAGGCTGCAGAGGTGGGGCGTGGGAGGGCAAGCCCTGCAGGTCTCCTCAGCCCTAGTGAAAATTTGGAGCTGTTTTCAAGAAGCAGTTGACAATCATTGAAGAGTCTTAGGTGGAAAGCTTACTAATTAACCTCACTTAGACTTTTTTTTCTACATGTGTAAATTCTGCAAGTGTGTGTGTGTGTGTGTGTGTGTGTGTGTGTGTGTGTGTGATGATTATGCTGTCCCACCTGGAATCTTCTGCTTGGTTTTTCATTTACCAGTAATATCATGGCCATCTCTGACAGAAAGAACGGTAGAGCAAAATACGTTTGTTTTGCTGTGAACCATGACAGGTTTAGATAGGTAACAATTTGAAGCAACAGTGGAAAAATCTCTTAGGGAAAAAGGAAGGAATTCAGTTTAATAATTTAACAACATTAAAAGTATATTTTGACCCGGGGATTTAGCTCAGTGGTGCTGCCACCTGCCTGGCAAGTGCAAGGACCCGAGTTCGATCTCAGGTACCAAAAAAAAAAAGTATATTTTGAGGCCTGTAATCCCTGCTACTCAGGATGCTAAAGGATGAGGATTCCAAGTTTCAGGCCAACCTGGGCAACTTAGCGAGAGCCTGTCTCAAAATAATAAAAAGGTCCCAGTACCAAAAAAAAAAAAATAGTAATAAAAGGAGGAGATAGAGCACCCTTGGGTTCAATCTCCGGTACCACCAAAGAAGAACCAACAGTATGTGGGCTTCAGGTGTGGGGCAGTGGTAAAGCACTCGCTTAGCAGGCGCAAGGTCCTGGGATCCCTGGCACTGAAACAAAAACCAACAAAAAAGGAATTCTAACTTGATACTTGATTTTCTCACAAACTTATGATTAGTATGCTACTTTAATCGTGTATTTATTGTTGAAGCAACTTTTAGTCTTAGATACAGCACAGTGTGAACAAAGTTAGAAATAGAAGAATAAAAATTCAACAGGCAATGTGTAGTCAAACTGTTAACAAACCAGGAAAGATTCAATTAAACTCCCAGAGAATGTATCACCTTTCAAAGTACAGTTTACTATTGCTAGTAATTATAAATGTACTTATTTATTTACTTTTATAGCAAAATATTGGAAGTGGCCTATATGTCCAGCAGCAGATGAATGGATAAATACAATGTGGTATTTATACATAATGGAGTACTACTCTGCCATAAAGAAGGACAGATGATTCACTTGGAGGAAAATGGATGCACCTTGACACCATGATGTTAAGTGAAATAAGTCAGACACACAAACTTGAATATCACAGGTTTCTCTTACATGAGAAACCCAAATTATAAATAAAGAGAAAAATAAAAGATAACAAGTAGGGAGACAGATCTATTTCAAATGGGAAGAGGATTAAGGAATGAAAGAAGGGGGAAGGAAGGAGGAGGGGATGAGAAAGAATTGAGATGTGTTATGTACATGTACCAACTCCACACAAGGAGTGTAATCTTTGTACAATACAGATATACTAATAAAAACAAAAAAAAATATCTAAAAGGGTTTTTTTCCCCCAGTACCAAGAATTGAACTCAGTACCTTTCCCTTGCTGGGCAGATGCAGCTCCACTGAGCTACATCCCCAGCTCTTAAGTGGGTTTTAAGTACTGGGGATTGAACCCAGGGCCTTTGCACTGAGCTACATCCTCTCAGCCCTTTTTATTTTTTGAGATGTGTTTTTGCTGAATTGCCCAGGCTGGGCTAGAACTTGTAATCCTCTTGCTTCATCCTCCCAAAGTGCTGGGATTACAGGTGTGTGCCACCATGCCTGGCAAATTTTTGAGACAATATACTTAAAACTTCCTGAACTGGGCTGGGGATTTAGCTCAGTGGCACCACCCCTGCCTCGCAAATGAAAGGTCCTGAGTTAGATCCCCAGTACCAAAAACAAAAAACCTTCCTGAACTATAAAAACTGCAGCATCTTTTAGTTCTTGCCCATTTATAAAACATAAGTAAGTGAGACTAGGAGAAACTATATTTAATATAGTGAAGCAGAGCTAGGGGCTGTGTTGTCTGGTTCAGGGTTCCCCACAGTATGAGTAGCTATGGCCAAACAAACATGTTCCAAAACAATGTGTGAATGAAAAATGATAGCCCACAAAATAATTACTTCAGTGTTGTGAACCCTGATGTAGCTCATTCTTCAGACCTTGTTTCTTTTTCTTGTTTTTTAAATGTATTGCAGAAGTGGAAATGAGCTACACAAAATAGGCAGTAATGCTACTGTGTGGTAGGAGGGCTATCCCTCCTAGAAACACTGCCTGCACCCTAAGCCCATGAACCCTGGCCTCAGCCTTCAGCATTTGAAAGTTACCTTTCCACATTCAGATCCTGGATGTGCTTCTGGTTTTGTAATAAAGTCATGAGCAGTGTTAGTGCAGCCAGCAATTACCT